GGGGGGGGACGGGGGGGGGGGGAGGGGAGCGGAGCGCTGCCGGGGCTTGGCCCCCGGTCAGTGCCGTGGGGGTGGGTTGCAGCGGTCCCCGCCCCGGGGGCCGCCACGTCCTTCCCCCTCTCGGGGGTCCCGCCGGGGCCCGGAGCTCAGTCCCGCTCCGGGAGCGGGGAACCGACACGGTCGTTGCGGGCGGGGGGAGGTTGGGGAGCCCCAGCCCCGGCTCCCGGTTGCTCCATCCGGCAGCGACGGCTCCGGGCCCCGAGGGCCGAGGGAGCCCAGAGGCCGTCCCGCAAGGGGGGGGGGGCAGCTCTCTGCGGGGCTCCGGTGGGCTCCGCTCAGCGCCCGGTGGCTGGGAATGAAGGTGCTGCCACTGTGATGGCAGCATGGGGCCATCTCCATCCCCTACAGCAGGGGACGAGGTGGCCTGGAGCCCACGATCCCTCCAACAGCCATCACCGCCGTGAGCGGGTCCCACTGGGACCCCCAGGACCCCCATTTGCAGGGAGCCGAGGGGAGGGAGCATGGGCAGGCCCACGGTGGCTCCAGTGGGCCAAGAGCGGCTTGTGCGGAGCTCCCCGGCCAGCTTTGGCCAAGGACGGACGTGCGGAGAGCCCCGTCGCATCTAAAAGTGTCACGCTCTTGTCACGCTTGCTGTGGTGAAACGAGGGACATCTGGTACCCTTGGTCAGCCCCAAGCAGGGAGGTGATGCTCTGCTCTTGTCCCTCAGATGTTGGCAGGGTGATGCCAGCTTGATCATGGTTGTCTGCCGGCAGCGGGAGAGGTTTTCGGCAGTGTTTGTGGGCCAGGCCAACTCAACAGGTTGCCCGAGGAGGAAGGGCGAGCTGGTGGGGCTGTGACAGGGGAACATGGGAGCAGGGGTGGACGGAGCCTCTCCTGCAGCCGTTCTCAGCACCCAGCTGCAACCAGCATCGTCTGCAGGTTTGGGGTTGGCCCTGCCCCTCACTGGGTGCCCACAGGGACAGGCTGAAGCTGGGATGCCCAAGGGTGAGGTCGGCTCTGGGGGATGCAGGGGGAGGAGATGGGGGAGGACAGCATTGCCAGCCAGGCTGAAGTGTGGGGGTCACCTGCTTATTTTGCCTGCAAATGCTGAAATAATGGGGGCCCCTGATGTTATTGAAGGGAAATTATGGCTGTTCTTCAGCTTGGTGGTCTGGCTGGAGGGTGAGGATGCCCCAGTTAGCCTGGGGGCAGCTGGGCTGCAACTGTGGCCACCTGAAGGGATGAGGGCAGCTCTGGGAGCGCAGCAGAGGGTTTGTCTCGGACCGGATGATAACAGCAGCCTGCCCTGGTATGTAGGGGATGAGAGAGCAAGTGAAGAGGAGGAAATTGCCTGCTTCCAGCTTCTGACCAATAACCTCCATCAATCAGTGTCTAACAGAAACACAATGGCTCTTTCCAATGGGAGGTGGGCAGCTGCCTCCTCTCACATCACGAGATGCGAGATAAGGGCTGGCATTTTTTTTTTTCCTGTAATCGATGCTCTGTTTTGAGATGTTTGGAAATAACCTCACAAGGAAGCTCCTTGTTGTAGAGCAGCACAACAGCGTGCAAACAGCACCAGGGAGGGCAGCGGGGGCTCTGCGGCGTGCCGTGGGAGGTGATGCAAAACAAGCGGCACCACCGTTAAGCAACTTCCCGTCAGCAGGGCCCGTCCACGCTGCCTGACCGGCCACATCTGAATGAAGTGTCACGCTCTTCTCATGCTCGCTGTGGTGAAACAAGGGAGATTTGGCATCCTTGGTCAGCCCCGAGCGGGGAGGTGATGCTCTGCTTTTGTCCCTCAGGCACTGACAGGGTGATGCCAGCTTGATACAGAGCCATGTCCAGGTACCTGAAGCACTTCACGGTGGTGGGGGATGACCCTGTGCAGTGGAGCAATGACTACCAGAAATGGGAGGAGGAGGAGGACGAGAATGGGGAGAAGCAGCCGGATTCAGAGATCAAGGTGGAGCCCACCAGGAGCCATGTCTCCTTCCAGGACATGATGAAAAAGCTCTTCAGCTCCCACAGGTTTCAGGTGAGGCAGAATAAACCCAGGCTGAAGGGAAATGAGGGCGAGACTTTGCCAAAGCCATCTGTGATAGCAGAGCCAATGTAGGACAGAGCTTGTGACCGCTCGCTGCTCCTGCGAGAGTGGCTGCTGCCTCTGAGCCGGGCTTGTCCTGTCAGAAATGAGCCGCTCTGCAGCAGGTGCAGGTGTTTCCTGAGCGGTGACAAGCCTCAGTGCATGCTCGTCACGGTGCCGACAGAGGCACGTGCTCTCCCCTGGCTCAAGCTCCCCGAACCCACCCCCACCCACCCCCCCCAAGCAGTGGGAAATGGCTGGGTTTGGTGGGGAGCCAGGTGGTTTTGTGTGCACGAGACTTTGTAGGAATAACCCAGTGACCAGGGGCTGCAGGAGTGGGAGTCCTGGGTGGGAGCAACAGAAAGGTCCATGAAACACAACCAGCCAAATCGGGGACGTGGGGCGTTGGGGCACGTTTAGCTAAAGGCTGCATCGGCTCCTCTTGCCGATCTGTCTGTGCTGGGAGGGGGCTCATGTCAGTTCTTCTCCTCCAACAGATCCTGGTTGTCTGTTTGGTAATCCTGGATGCCTTGCTCGTTCTTGGGGAATTGCTTATGGACTTGAAAATCATCCATCCAGACAAACATAATATAACCCCAAAGGTAAAATGCAGGGAAATGTCAACATGAACTGTGATATCCCTCTCTTTGGTGGTTCAAAGCCCGCTAAATAGGATGACTGGGCAAGGCAGGACCTGGACCTTCAGCCTTGCTGAGCCGGCAGTCACAGGCACACAGATGAAGGTCTTGCAGGGACTTGTGTGACAACCCTGCAATGTGCGGGGCCAACCTGGCTTGGCTCATGCCGGTCCATGCAGCAGCCTCATGCTTCCTTGGGCTGCAGAAGAGCTGAATTGCTCTAACCATTCTTCTCCCGGTCATGTTCGCACCTCCTGGTCCGGCTTACCCAAAGCCACTGGCTGCCATATGCTCGCTCTGGTTGTCCCTTAGAGCAGAAGAAAAGTCCCCAGCCCTTCTCCTTGTAGAGCCAAATTGGACATGCCTTTGAGTGCTGGAGGTTTTCCAGCCTGCCCTGCTTGTGTGCATGCAGGAGGGTTTCCTGGCCCTAAACTTGTGCTGTCTTTTCCCAGGTTTTCCACTACCTCTCACTCTCCATTTTAACCATCTTTCTGGTTGAGGTGGGGTTTAAAGTCTTTGTCTACCGCCAAGAGTTCTTCCACCACAAGTTTGAAGTCCTGGACGGCATCGTTGTTGTTGTGTCGTTCATCCTTGATGTTGTCCTCATCTTCCGAGAGCATGAGTTTGAAGCTGTTGGGCTCCTGATACTCCTGCGGCTGTGGCGGGTGGCCAGGATTATCAATGGTAGGTGTGTGTGGCTGATCAAGAGCTTTCCCTGGTGCATGGGCTGGATTTGCTGACCTTACCTGAATTATCTGGGCTCACGTCTTTGTTGCCTTCTCAAAGCCATCTGCGGGACCCTGAGGTCTTGCTCTCCCAGTGAACTCATGTAGCTTTCATTGCCCATATAGTTTTCATTGCTGGAGCGTGGCCTTAATTAGTCTGTAATTTCTTTGGAGCAGCAATAATCTGCTGCTGGTGTTGGTGCGATGCCTTGGTGATGAGGGCACAGCAGCTGGCCTGGGCTAGCAGAGATGCCCAGCCCTCAGCATTGGCATGTTCCTCTAAAAACAACCTGTAACCTGTTCTTGCATCCCTCCCTCCTGGAAAGGGATGGCTCACATCTTAAGTTTGTGCTGTAGGATCCTTTTGGCAACGTTTTAAGAGGGGAGCAGGGTAAAACCCTGCCTTCCTGAATCTACTTCTATAGCAGAGTAGGTTTTACTGCTCTGACATTCTGCTGTGACTCTGTCATCCCCTCCAGGGATGCCACAGGGAACATCCTGATCTCACTCTGGATCTTTCTTGCTTGGATTCAAAGGGCTCACTGTAAAAAGAGGAATATAAAGTCCCCAAATCAGGCTTTACTGACTGTTGTAATTGTAAATTGTTGCAAATAGATGTAACTTCAGACACTTCTCAGGGAAGGAACTTTGGGATTCAAAAAAACGTGCCAATGGGATTATCCCCAATTCCTGCATGAAACCTCAGCCCAGGTACTGTCTTGTGCCTGTGAGTGCTCTGTACTTGATGCAGCTCTAGGTCTTTTAGTTGGAATGAAAGGAAAGGATGGCTGGGGCTGTGTCTGTCACCTGCAGCCCCCCACTTCCATTTTGACAGGGAGAATGTGCCTGATTGGCGGCAGTGGCCGGGAAGAGGGAAGATGAGAGCAGCTTGTGGCTCTTTAGTTTGAAGTGAAAGTCAGAGAGAAACTGGATTCATGTGCAGCTGCATGAGCCACAGACACCTTGGGTCTACAGCAGAAAAACAGTATTGCATTTATAAGGAAATCCCCTTACCCTTGGGTGCTCCTGGTTTTCCCTCCAAGCTTTTTGCCATGCCTGCCCCAAGCTTGGGGTGTTGTGTGTTGAAGCCTAGCCATGCTTCACTGCCTTCAGTCACTGTTGATTGATAGGGACCGGGTCACAGGCAGGTGGGGACTGTTTGATGTTATCAATGCAAATAAGCAGCATTGCTGCTTTGTCTTCAGAGAAATGAACCCCAAAACCCCAAGCCTGCTGCCTGTAGCACAAGAAACACAGGCAAGCACGCATTGGTGCCTTTGTGCATGTTGTTCTGTCAGCAGCCAGAGGACAGCTCTGTCGGGTAGGAAGAACGTGATGTTCTTGATGCTCTAACCAAGCTATTCCACTTCCCCCCCAGAAAAGGGTGGGAAGAAAATGCCTTTACTGTGGGGGCTGAGTTCACATGTAATAACCTAACAATATTTCAGTAGAGAAGTGACACCTCTGCTGTAAGGAGAAACTGCGTGCCCTTACTGCAGCCGTGCAAGGTGAAGCCAAAACCTTAAGGACCAGATGATGTACCATGTCCTGCTCCAGCGGGTCAGAGCGATCAGCCCCGGGGGTGGACAAGGCTTGTGCCCCAGGCTGTGCTGTGCATTGCTGTTAGAGCAAGGCTCCCAACTACATGAAACTGGCTAAAATGCAGCCCCTTGTGACAACAAAGCTGCCAGTTACATCCCCCCCGAGGTTCTGCCAAGGGAGTGAATTCAAATTCAGGATTTGAATGACAGCCTGACTGATTAATTCAGCTCAGAGGCCAGACTGCCTCTTCCCAGCAGAGTATTGGTATCTGAATCCCTGGGGTGGCTAATTTAAAACCCTCCTCATTAAGAAAAGCACTTGGGAAGGGTGGTTTGAAGATGACAGGACCAGAGCTTGAGAGGAACATGTTTAACTCCTTGAATACAGACCCCATGTACTGTTAAGCTCCTGCTAGTGGCTGTTTTACATTGTAAACTGAATCCACTGTGAATTGGTTCACAGGAATCATTTTATCGGTAAAGACCCGCTCTGAACAACAAGTGTCCAAGCTAAAGCAAGCAAACCTGAAACTTGCAACAAAGGTTGAACAACTGGAACACAGCTGTGTAGAGAAGGTAAGAAAACACTTTTCATTTAAGCAACGTTTACCCACTGGCTGCTCCCCAGGACAGGCTGGCCTGGGATCATTTTCCAAGGTTGCCACTGTCAGCTTGGTTTCTTCATCAGAAAGCTGTGTGGTAAGCTGGGCTGAAGAACCACAGCCTTGCCTGTTCTGCCTGTACTTCCCTTAGCTGCTTGCTGCAAAGGGATGATGGCTACCTCTGTCCTACTTTAGCCAGGTTGTCCTGTCTTACTGCAGCATGAGATATGTTTCAGCAGTGGGAAAATCTGTGGGAACCTGGGAAACTATTTTAAGGTAAGAGCTATATTAATGATTTGACTTTCATATCTAACAGGAGCAAGAAATTGAGAGGCTTAACAAGATATTAAAACAGCATGGACTTGTCAGCGAGCAAAAATAGGAGGCCAGTTTTCTGAGCTGGGGAAGTCCGCCCTGCAGAGTGCAGTGCTGAAATCTACCAGTTTGACCTGAAAGGTTTTCCTGTCTCTTTGCTTTCTCTTGTATAGTGTTGTCTATAAACATTTTTCTATTTGACCACACTTTGATTAGATCTTGGGATTGCAAAAATAGTTTTGCTGGAAAATTAATCACACGTACTCCCTGGAAACAGTGATTTCATAAGACCTGTCTTATACAGTTGTACAGTCAAAACTACAAAATAATTTAATAAAGACACATCTTCACAAGTAATACAATCCCTGGAAGTACCACTTATTTTAAATAATTTCATTTTTCTGTGATAATGTTCTTTGTTTGCAACATATTGTAGAAACTTGCAGTACAAATGATAAGAACCCAGCCTGAAGAGGTCTTCTCTCTACAAGCTGACTGTTCATCATTAGTACATCTCTTCTTTGCCAACCATTCTTTTCATATTGTTGGTAGTTTCCTCATTTCTGTTGCTGCTTGTGCCACTTTGTTATTTATATAACGTTCATTTCAAAAATACCAACATACTGCTCCTTTAGTTGACAATCAAATCAGCACCAAAATAGAGGCAAACATGTGCCATCTTACGTCAAACAATGCCTTGTTCTCAACATGAGATTTGAGTTCAGATACTGCATTCTCTCATCTCTTCTTCCATTTTAAGTGTTCATTTGCAGCCTGCTGGGCTATAAAGTTCTTTGTTTCCACAGCTCATAATTCAACACATTAAAAGAATTAGAATATATAAGAACAGATGTAGGCGAGTGGACTGCTGGGAACAGTTAGACTCCAGAAAAGCCATTAGAAAGCATATTCTAAAGGACCAGGCTGGTGCTTGAACACAATGTGAACTCTCAGGTACTAGAAGGTCCCTGTGGAGAGACTATTTTATAGTTGAAGAGTAAGATTCAATAAGTGGGAATCTTGAAAGGTGTTGACTGTAGCAGGCATCTCCAATTGATTTCAGCCAGAGTCAGCTGGAAGGGTCATTGAGCTTTTCTGAAAGCATCACTTAACTGTTTGGATTTTTAAAGAAAGGTAATTAATTAGTGGTTTGGGAAAAATAGCTAGAAATAGGTGGCTTATTCATCTATGAAAACAGATAAAGCAGAGGCCTTATCTAATAGCACATGATTACTTTAATTAACAATTTAGCTCTGCTTTTCACAGAATAATGAAACCTAGTTTCCTATGGAGCTGTACTGTGCCCCTGTGCTCTTCCCTTCCCTTTCTGCCTCCACACTGCTAGGCAGACAGCTCAGACTAGTGCTAGTTTAGAGCATCCAATGTGCTGGAAGGCTGGTGGCTGTACATGTGCTGACTGGCCAGCTAGAGCCACCATCAAGTTCATACTGCAAACTCTTTTTTTCCTCTCAGCAGAGGCATAATTGGGAACTTTCCAATTAATGTGGGTTTTTTCTGCCCTAAAGCTTTTGAGAACCCTCACATGGGTTTACCCTTTCTCTCGTGGCCAATTCTAACCCAGTGTGTCTGCAATTTAGAAGAAACCGATGGCCCATCACAGTGACTGGATAAACCTCACTTTGTTAGGAAATGGACTAAAAATCAGAGAAAGTAGAAATATGGCTGCTTTTTTTTTTTTTAAATGCATACTTACCTTAGACAAATGGAAAGAAAAAATCAAAGGGTAACTTGGCATTAATGGTGGGCCAAGCTTTATAGCCTGGCTCTGCAGGTGAAGAAATATCAGTGAAAACAACAGAACTTATTATAGGAATAGTCCTTTCCCTTCCTGAGGGAAGCTGCAATGAAAATACAAATGGTCATTAGCTTCAGTCTTCTCTTTGTATGACTACTTTGTTTGGACTGGGTTATATTTTCAACTGTTATTTGTAGTAAGGTGTTAGGGGTTTTTGGGGTTTTTTTATATACAGTTCCACATTTCTTTTCATGAATGATGTATAGATTTTTACTGAAGTGTGTTTTGGCAAGCAGCCCACAGTTGTGTTTGAGTTGGAAAAGAAACTGTTGTGTGCAATACATTCTAATATGAAGTGTTACCTTTATCTAAAGAGATTAACTGGGTCACTGTAGCACAGCTGATACCTAAGCAAAACAAACCATTTTTTAATCTTAAATCCTATAATTTGATTACATACCTGCTTTGCTGTGGTGGTAGTGATTGTTGCTGTAACATTCACTATTCTGGCTTGTGGATTGACTAGGGATCCATATTTAGTCCACTTCACTTCTATTTCAAGAGACACTGGTATTTGGCATGAGCTCTGAAAAGTGTTATAAATTCTCTCATTGTCTGACTGTACAAGAGTGACCACATTAATTATTCATCTTATTAAACTGGCAGAATGCCCCCAGAAAGCTCACTCCAGGAGATTACCAGAGCAACTGTGCCATGCCTGTGCCCTGGACTGCTGCCTGTGCAAGCAGCACAGGTGCTTGCAGCCTTGGCTCAGGGCTGTCCCTGCAGTTTCTCCATAGGTGACAAACCGACTCTGTAACTGCACTTCAGGCAGGACTTCGGCTCTTAGTGATAGTGCTGAGCTGGCTCTTTTTAGTAGGAAGACTTATTTCAGTAATACTGCTGGGACAGTAGAAAATCTTCCTTAACTCTGCCAGGGCAGAATTTTGAAGCCTACAATCTTAATTATTTTTAGGTACTGTCAGGTTTCTGGTTACAGAAATAATTCAGTGTTTAGTTGCAAAAACATGCAAGAAACCTATATACAAGCTGTCATTGAGGGGGTGCTGTCATTCAGCATGTGCCAAGCAGCACCGCCTACCACCAACAGCAGGGACTGCACTGCATCCGGAAGAGAATGGCTAGTCAGAAGAAGTTGCGAATAAATGTGTTGTTTGGCTCGCGATTTCTGTGCTTTAAAGGATTCTTGCTATCTTACTCGAACCTGGTGTAAAAGGACCAAGTAGAAACACTGATTCTGTTACTTCACTCTTTCAACCTTACCAGTTGCGTGCTTCATTCCATCTAAACAGCAAGAGACTAAATTGTGGCTAGAACTGGGTTGTTTTGTACCTAACGTGTTGTCCTGATCCATAACTGAGATGCCTGGATACCAGCCTGATTAAAAGTAAATTCTGTCCTCACAGCAAGAGTGAAAACCCTTGGTTTTTAATATTCCAGGAGGACTTTCCTCCAGTTTGTTTCCGAATTTTTTTTCCCTATAGGCCTAGGAAGCCTAAGCTGATGCTGCAGTACAGGTACAGATCTTGGGAGAGAGGACAGTGAGAGTGAAGAGAGTGGTGGTAGTGGTGTAACTTTCACCTGTTCTGAGGTGTGGAGGTGAGTTATTGGCACCCAGTCGAGCACATCCTGGGCTTGAGAATTTCCAAATGAGGCCACATATTCAGGAAAGCTTTGTCCCTTCAGTAAATCTAGGAGGGTCTGAGTCAAGGGCTGGCATTTCATATCTGCTGTAATTCTTCCAGGAAAAAAAAAGATGAGTTAAAGCGAAATCCATTGGTTTGGCACAGTAATAATTTCTCCTTCCTCTTATGCACTGTTCAAGCCTTCTGGCTACTATTGCTAATGTACACAATCTTTTCAAGAGAAAGACCATTTTTAATTAAATGACATTTTTAATAATTAAATGCTCCATTCCCAATACTCCTACTGTATAAATGTCCCAGGACCTGAACAAATCCTAATGGAAAGGGTTGTCAGAGGGTTAAAAGCACTAAAAAAAAAAAAAAAAAAAATCCTCTTACCGTAACTTACAGCCTGATATCATGTTATAACCAAATAATATTGGGGTTCTGGTTCCCTGTGCTGCCAGACAATCCTGGTTGGACGTACTTTGCAAAATGGTAAGTTGACTGTATTTGTTAGTATTCTGAATGATGCCAGATGTAACACACAGTTAAAGGAAAGTTCAATCCTTGATGTATATAGCATGAAGAAAGAATCCTTAATCATATCCTTAAAATATATCTGAAAATAGCTTAATAGCTTAAGTCTCCCCTGCACTGTGAAGAAGCACTAGACCGTACAATGAAGGTCTAAATCTACCTCACTAAAAAGTCCCAGGAGATTGCAGTCAGGACCAAGTCACTACTTCCAAAAAGTAGCCAAAAAAGCACATTTTTACTTTTGGTAAAGAACAGATATATTTTATAGATGTCCATGCTAGAAAGTGTTTGTGAAGATGGACCAGAACAAGTGCTGCAAACAAAATTTCAACAGGGAAAGGATATCCTTGTGGCCGGAAGCCTGCTCTTATGGGCAGTCCAACAACATAACCAGGATTACCACTGAGAGGAACTGGCTTTGTATTTACCTACAATGCAAATGTACAGTATTAGTTCTTATCCTGCACTGAAACAGCTGGAAAACACAGAAGTATTTCACTTCTTTTAGGATTATTAACTGCCTTGAACAACGATAGCAATTAAGGCTGCTCTGTAAGATTATAACAGCTCTCTAACAGAGCAGGATTTGCTTTCACTGGATACACAGTCACAAGATGACTCTTCTAAATGTGAAAAACAGACTTTGGAGACCTTTATTGCCCAGTTCTGAAATGCTGCCTCATTTGTGTATCCAGGGCAAGTTACATTTTACCTTGCTGCTAACAATTGTTCTGATTCAAGTTTAATAAGTTTTGTAATTAAATGTCTTTCAACAAGTCATCCGTAACATCTCTAGCAGTTACCTGAGTAAAGCTGATTTCAAAGCTCTGCTGTATTGAAAGTACTTCTTTGTTAATTGCCCCCAAGACAAAAGAAGCAGCTGCTTCTATTATTTCTCCTGCATCTGTGTATGTAATGTGATAACTCACCTGAAAATGAAACATTTTAGATATTAGAACAAATACATAAGAGTATGAAACTAGAAAAATGGAATTTAAAACTATGTAAGGATTGTTTTCTTTCTTCCTTGCTTGAGAAACATTCAACTACATGGTAGAGATACACTATATCCTCTAGAGGCTGGAGCCTCTTCAAAACTGACTTCTTGATCTAAGCATAAGCCCAGTGTTCATCTATTTAAGACTGAAAGATGAGATGATGTGTACTGTGTATTCTTCTGTCTCTACCACCACTGTGCATGAAAGTCATCTTCTCTCAAGCATAATGTAGATTCTAAACTCATGTTATTGTCTGTTATGGCATATACGCACAGTACTAATAGAAAAGGATTTTATCCTGTCTCTGTGT